CCTACGCTATCCGCATATGCCTCTCCAGATGCCCCACTTAGGCCACAGGCGACAGGAAGGACTCCTCAGACAGGAAGACTCCACACCCCGGCAGATGCACCAGTGCTGTACGTCATCTTTACTCCGTCCCAGGCTTCTTCCCTGGTGTGACCACATTGCCAGACCCCAAAAAGCAGCCCATGCCCTTTTATCGCAGGATAGCTCAGATCCAAAAGACATATTCGGCAGCCTGGAGAGACCTAGTCAGCCTTGTAGCTGGCCAGCTAAGACCAGTCCTAGGTTGCTAATATGGTTCACATATATGTGTATACCAAACCTGCCAATAACCTCAGTACAGTGTATATGTGCATATGTTAAAGCCAAAAGCAGAATCATTGCTGTAATTTATGTCTTTGAATGTTATATGACATTTATATATTCATTGTGTTAGCAGAAGCAGAAAAGGAAAATATGCCTTTAAGAGTTAGTATATAGGTGAGCCAATCACAGCCAGCCTCACACTGTACAGAGCCTTATCCAATCCCAGCCAGTTTCACATTTATGCCTGTGTAAAACTCCCTGCTAGATTGTTCTAGAGACACTTGCTCACCAGACAGAAGAGGAAACAAAGTTCCAGTCAGAGAAGCTCCATGGAAGCAGAGAAGGCCAAATAGGTATTTAATGCACTTGTGTGTTCCTCTGTTGTTCAGCAGTGCAAGTGGGTCTGTATGTAAAAACTGTTGTGTGTGTTTACTTGTAGTTCCACCGAATCTATCAAAATATACAGAACGAATCTACCGAGATAAGTAATCGAATTAACCCACTGTAATGCGAAGTATACAGAACAAAATAAGTTATCGATATAATCCACCGAATTAAGCCACTGTAATATGAAAGAAATAAGCTACTGTAAGATAAACGAAACAAGCCATTGTAAGCAGTGTTATGAAGAAGATTGAAGTTATTAAAGAAGTTAACTAAAGTATTCGGTGTGCTCTTTAAACCTACTGCATCCATAGAGCGGCATTGGAGGAATTACAGAGTAAAGTCAATCTAGTCAAACAAAAGAATCAGCAATTGCATAATTTTCTGATGCCACAGCGCACAAGGCACTGCATAGTGCTGCCCCTGCCACAAGCCTGTGTGAGATACAGGCGGGAGACTCATACTGGCCAATAATGGCACGAAGCCTTAATGACACCTGGCTTGTCGATGACAAAGCTTTCTCCTCTGGACTGGAATTTGACATGACTGGGCCAAAGAAAGACTGGCTGATCAAGCCACCACCCTTCAAGATATTACCCAAGATAAAGCAGAGTCAGTAGAAAAATTCTATACCAGACTGTCCCAGGTCTTCTCAGACCTGGGATTCAGCGCATACAACAAAGCCCCTAATCAGATGCTGTCATCAGCCTTTGTTGCGGGGCTGAGGGAGCCAATATGGAAGGGTCTTATCATGGCTAGGCCTGAGTATCGTGTGGTGCCCTTAGACACTCTACTGTTGGTGGCAAAAGGCCTTGAATCATCACAAGCTACCACGAAGTCCACCCCTAATATGGTAGCAGACCCCTGGAAACACACCTGGCCAATGGCCACAGAAGAAAATAAGCCCATTTGCTACAATTATGGCCGCCCAGGGCACTACAAGAGGAACTGCAGAGCACCTCCCAGACATCAAAGGCCACAGTGGAACCAGGACACACACAACCAGCAACAGTCACAACAGCAACATCAAGCTCCTGGGCCCAGCGTGGATCACCTGGATCTTCTGCGCTAGGAAGTGGGCAAGCCTGTGTCATCCCCTATCTTGGCAGGGTCTTCAGCAGGTTCAGGGGGCCCATTAGCAAAAGTGACCTTACCTATTGAAGGGCACCCAATGACATTTCTAATTGACACAGGTGCAGCCAGGAGCGCAATCAGATCAGAAGACTTGCAAGACCACTCATACCTTTCTGACATAGACATATCCTGTGTGGAGGTAGATGGAACCCCACAGTCTAATCTTCTTACCTGACCTTTACAGGTCGGTCCATTCCCAGACTTGCTGACCCGGTTCGTCGTGTCTTCGACGTGTCCCTTGATTCTCTCAGGAGCTGATGTGCTCTGTAGGCTCAAGGCCTCTATCACATTCACTCCTGATGGCAAGGTCATCTCATCACCACTAGAAGACGCGCGGACACGTCTGCACTGTGCTCCATTCCCCTTCTGATGGCACTGCAAGAGACCCCTACCACCACCATCCCAGCAGATGTGCTGGGCAGAATCCCAAGTTGCCTATGGTCCACAGGACCTGAAGATATTGGACATTTAAAGGTACCCCCAATTATGGTGGAACTAAAGCCTGGAGCTCCCCTACCCAGGAAACCACAGTACCCACTGAAACCATTGCAATCTGAGGCCATTTCAAAGCAGGTCAAGTCCCTTGTGGCAAATGGTGCACTCATAACTTGAACCTCTCCATGCAACACACCTTTGTTCCCGGTGAAAGAGAAGACACCCAAAGGGGAACCAGAGAAGTACAGGATGGTACAGGACCTTCGAGCAGTGAATGAAGCCATTGTCTTAGAGACACCTATCGTCCCAAATCCCCACACTCTACTCACAGGGGTACCTCCAACAGCAAAGTACTTCACCGTGGTGGACCTGGCAAATGCATTCTTCAGCATTCCTTCGCATCCTTCCTGCAGATACCTCTTCGCTTTTACCCATGAGGGGCAGCAATACACCTGGGCAGTTATGCCACAAGGGGCGCAAAATTCTCCAAGCCAGTTCGCCAAAGCCATGACCACCATACTTGACACGTGGCAAAAGGAACATCCGGCAGTGTGGATATGTGGATGACTTTCTCCTCTGTGCTGATGATCTGCCCACAGCTGAAGAAGCCTCGGAGAGCTTACTATGCTACTTGGCACACCAAGGCTGTAAGGCCTCCAAACCGAAGTTGCAATGGTGCTCTACGACAGTTGTGTTCTTGAGCCACTGCCTCTCACATGGAACAAGGCATCTTACGGAGGAAAGAGTTAAGGCCATCCAGAACCTGCCACTGCCTCTAAGCCAGAAGCCACTCCATACCTTTCTTGGCCTCAGATCCTACTGCAGGTCATGAATTCCTGATGCTTCTTGGTTTATGAAACCACTCTATGATGCTCTCAAGTCTGAGCCCTTCCATCTGTTCGAAGAGGCCGCCTCCAACTTTTTGGCTCTAAAACGCTTAGTTTCTTCAGCCCCAACCCTAGGTCTACCAGACTACGAGAAACCTTTCAAACTGTTCATGTCTGAACGCCAAGGCCATGTCACAGGAGTATTGGCCCAGTCCCATGGCAACCGCCTACGACCCGTAGGCTACTACTCATGCCATTTAGACCCAGTGGCTAGAGGAGCACCCTCGTGCAGTTTTCGTTGCTAAAGCTCTGCTGGATAAGACCTCTGATATCGGTCTGGAACATGAACTCCTCCTGGCGCCGCATGATATTGCTGCCATTTTAAACCAAGTCCAACCTAAACATTTGTCCACAGGCATCTCAGACTACAGTGTTCCCTCCAACTTCCTGATAACGTCACTCTCCTACGTTGCCAAACCCTGAACCCGGCCACTCTCCTCCCAATTGCTGAGCGGGGTAATGAAGGTAATGAAGAAAGTGGAGAGGATAATGTAGACACTGAGCCTCATAACTGTCTTGAAGTGATGAAAATGGAAACCTTCCACCTCCCCACAGTGAGTGAAACACCTCTGCAGAACCCAGACTTCACCTTCTTTGTTGATGGTTCCAGATATGCAGATGATGGAGGAAAATATCATACAGGATTTGCGGTCACTACTGTAGATACAGTCCTACAGGCAAGAGCCCTATCGCCAGCAATATCTGCACAGGGAGCTGAACTTCAAGCACTCACAACAGCATGCCAGATGGCGGAAGGAAAAAGGGCCAATATCTACACAGACTCCTTTGGGGTGGCCCATGACTTCAGACCCATATGGAAGGCAAGAGGATTTATGACTGCGGCAGGTAGGTCCATAAGACATGGAGCAGCCATTGGACGATTGATGGAAGCACTCCTTCTACCCACTGAAGGTAAAAGCTCACGGAAAATGAAACTCCTCAGAAGCCAAAGGCAATATTCTGGCAGATTTGGCGGCAAAACGAGCGGCCAAGGGACCACCAGAAATGGAAGGAGAGGTGAACGGAGTGTGGGAACCAATATTCACCTTACAGACCTTACCTGTGGATAGAAGCTACCTCAAGGAACTCCAAGCAGCAAGTCCAGAGGAAAAAGAAAGCTGGAGATGGAGAGGAGCTGTTCTCAAAGACGGTCTGTTTAAGTGCAATAAGAGGCCTTGCTTACCCAGGAACATGTTCCCAGCTATAGTCCAGTGGGCACACGGAGCAGCCCATCTGTCAAAGAGCCTCATGAACTCTCTCATCAACAAGTACTATATAGCGCCTGGAATTACCACATTGACAAATAATTTTTGCAAAAATGTGCCATCTGTGCAAAATGCAATCCGGGATGCACAGAGAAGACACCAAAGAAACACTTGGCCAAATCCCTATACCCCTTTCAAAGGATACAAATTGACCATATTCAGATGCCAAAGAGTGGGCGGTTCAAGTACGCCCTAGTGGTGGTGGACATGTTTTCCAGTTGGCCAGAGACCTTTGCTGTAACTAACATGACTGCTAAAACAACTGCGAAGAAACTCCTCACTGAGGTTGTATGCAGATATGGGCTTCCAGAGGTGATAGAGAGTGACCAGGGCCCCGCTTTTACAGCTTCAGTAACCAAAGAAATATGGGTGGCATTAGGAGTCACTCTGGCATTCCATTCCCCCTATCACCGCCAAAGTAGTGGAAAAGTAGAAAGAATGAATGGGAAAAGAATGAATGGCATTCTGAAAGCCAGAATGCTAAAAATGGCCCAAGAGACTGGCATGAGTTGGTCAGACAGTCTGCCTATTGCTCTATTCAGTGTCAGATACACACCCTGGAAGCCGCCTGCTGCTGAGCGTCTGCAAGTTGCCTACCGTGAGTGTCCCTAGAAGCCATGAACTGCCTGTGGTGTGCGCACAGACTACCCGTGTCCTGAACTGTCCCATTTGTGCGCACCGACCTTCCCCGTGTCCTGAACTGTCCCTGTTGTGCGCACAGACTACCCGTGTCCTGAACTGTCCCTGCTGTGCGCACCGGCCACCTGTGTTTTGAATTGTCCCTGCTGTGTGCACCGACCACCCGTGTCCTGAGCTGGCCCTGTTGTGCGCACAGACCACCTGGGTTATGAACTGCCCTACTACACGCCTGACTACCCTTACTTGAACTGCCCCATGGCGTGCCCGGAGTATAGCTACCTGTGATGCCCCTGAGTGCTTGAGCCATCACTACCATTGAGTCCCCATGAACCTGATGTCCCTAGAAAGCTGGGTGGGAGCTGTGCTAGGCCAGACTCCACAGCTAGAGTCCCGTTGAGTCCCCGAGACCCCTGCCCAGGGGTAGGTTGCTCGGCTGAGGCCCCAAGCCTAGGGGGGAGGTTGCCCTCCTGTTGCCCGAGTCTTAAATTCGCTGTCCAGTCACGGAGTGAGCTCGGCTGAGGCCCCAAGCCTAGGGGGGAGATTGCCTGCCTGCTGCCCGAGACCCCAGTCCAGGGGTGGGTTGCCTGCCTGTCGCCGAAGACCCCCCGTGCTGGCCTGGTCCCTAGTTTGCACACACATCACCCTCCCTTCCATTTCCCCATTGAGTGTCTGTCATTTTGTTTCAGTAAAGCTTTGTGCGTTCCCCATCTTCTCCGTGTGCTCTGTCCTGCCTACGCTTCCGTTACACCATATATTGCAACAGACGTAGACCAGGTTGGGCACAGCGGGCTTGCATGGCGATTCGCCCGGATCAGATATACGTGTGTATAACGGATGATTATTGGGAACAGAACTGTGCCCATTGGGGATCAGTGGGATGGAGTACTGGAGCAGGTTGGGGGTATCAACCACAGAGTGCCTTAAAGAGGAAAGATAAGGTGGGGAAGCTTCTCATTAAACGCATGTCCATCTGGAAGTCAGGGTGCAGTGATGATGAAGAAAGACTCGTCCTAAACATTGAGAATCCCAGCCCTGGTAATGCAGGACTTTACTGGTTAGGCAGGTACGCACCGTATGGTACACCTCTAGCAAAATTTTACCTAAAGGATATATATCGCTCATCAGAACCAGTGGTCAATCCCCTCAGACCCTCCATTCGTACCATAGGTGACATGGTGGCAATAGCAAATCCCACCTTTGAGGACACTATGGCAGCAGAAACTGGTTTTTCTGATATCAACCTATGGCTTGAGTGGATGAGGTTCAGTGCCAGCCAGCATAACAAAAGTAATTGTTATGTCTGTGGTAGTGCTAGGCCACATTTAGGTACGGTCCCTCTCTCAATCCCACGGGACAATGAGGAATGCTTCCTCAGCCTGTTCACCAACACATCCACCAACCATTCCACATGTGAGAAATGGAAGATGGAATATCCAATGGTTACTAAAATCTTAAAGCCTGGAGAGGGTATTACTATCTATCCAGGGAATTACACCTGTTACTCTAATTACAAAAGCAAAGGGAGGTTTCTGGGTAATTTTACAGAAGGTTATTGTTCCACCTACAGCAGTATTCAGGGGGTTAAGGTGCAGAATCAGACCCAGTCTCTCGGTGACATATACTGGATCTGTGGGGACCAAAAGATTAGAACCAGAAAGGAAGGGATTTGGACTGGTGAGTGTGCTCTTGCCAAGGCCATTATGCCTCTCCACATCCTAGCAGAGAATACCCCTGACCCAATGCCTGGCCGTACAAGGAAGCGAAAAGCTCCTTCTGGTAATTTTGACCCACATGTGTATATAGATGCCATTGGAGTCCCAAGGGGGGTGCCTAATGAATTTAAAGCCAGAGACCAAGTAAAAGCAGGTTTCGAATCCCTGATTCCCATGATAACTGTTAATAAAAATGTAGATTGGATAAATTACATATACTACAACCAACAGAGGTTTGTGAATTACACCAGGGATGCCCTCCAAGGAATCGTTGACCAGTTAGCCCCCTACATCCTAAATGACATTCCAGAATAGGATGGCTCTGGACATGATTTTTGCGGAAAAAGATGGTGTCTGTAAAATGATAGAAGGAACCGGAACATGTTGTATATATATTCCTGACAATACTGGCCCGAATGGTAAGGTTACTCTGGCTATAAAGAAATTAGAAGACCTGTCAGTTGAGTTGAAGAAGAATTCAGGGATCACAGACCCGTGGGATCAATATTTCAGTTGGATGAGTGGGTGGCAAAAGATACTTGCCCAAATAGGGGTAACTGTACTAATAATTCTGATTCTCCTGGCCCTGGTTGTATGCTGTGTTATACCATGTGTGAGGAAATTGATGAGCAAAGCTGTAGACAACAGTACACCTACTTTCCTGAACCAGGAGCAAGAGGATCTCCATATGATAGATGAAGAAAAACCTTATACCGCATTGCGGTCCCTCCCCGCCAACAGTAATCTCACAGTTTTGTAGGGATAGCATCTGACTTACAAAGTATGTGGCAAGGGGGGTGATGAAATAGTCATCACCTGTCTAACGTACAGCATAAAAGAGTTCCAAGGTACATAAGGACAGATGAGCGAGGTCTTATAGGGACAGATGAGCGAGGTCTTATAGGGACAGAGGAAAATAGTCATTTTAAGGGGGGACTGTGATGGATTTGGTAAAATGCCTATTTGGTTTCCTATTGAATATATACATATTTCTATACATTGTATACATATCTACTTTATACTTTTTTTATATTTCTAAATGCTTTGTATGAATATATATGTGATGCGTGTATATTTGTTGTCTGCTGGGCTTTGTAGTTCTCCTTGCTCAAGAAATGTCTGTTCACCAACCCCCTCCCATCGTGTGAATTTGAGAACTGTGGCAGGCGCAGCATTATGTAGTGCCTTGTGCGCTGTGGCATTAGAACAATTATGCAATTGCTGTTTCTTTGTTTGATTAGACTGACTTTACTCTGTAATTCCTCCAATGCCGCTCTATGGATGCAGTAGGTTTAAAGAGCACACCGAATACTTTAGTTAACTTCTTTAATAACTTCAATCTTCTTCATATAACTGCTTACAATGGCTTGTTTCGTTTATCTTACAGTTTCTTGATTCGATTCATATTACATGCTTAATTTAATTTACGATTACTCTACAGACTTGTTTCGATAGCTTATGTCGATAGCTTATTTCGTATTACAGTGGGTTAATTCGGTGGAACTATTTGGCCTTCTCTGCTTCCATAGAGCTTCTTTGACTGGAACTTTGTCTGTTTCCTCTTCTGTCTGGTGAGTAAGTGGCTCTAGAAAATTCTAGCAGAGAGTTTTACACAGGCACAAATGTGAAACTGGCTGGGATCCGTTAAGGCTCTGTACAGTGTGAGGATGGCTGTGATTGGCTCACCTATGTACTGACTCTTAAAGGTATATTTTTCTTTTCTGCTTCTGCTAACACAATGAATATATAAATGTCATATAACATTCAAAGACATAAATTACAGCAATGATTCTGCTTTTGGCCTTAACATATACACATATACACTGTACTGAGGTTATTGGCAGGTTTGGTATACACATATATGTGAACCATATTAGCAACCTAGGACCGGTCTTAGCTGGCCAGCTACAAGAACAAAGACATGTTTTTCTTTTCTATAGATAAGACTTAGAAGAAGATCACGCCTATACTCTGAGAAGATTGTTTTCGTGTGGAAATGACCAATCAAAGACTAATATAATGCTTATGCTGTTCTTACGTGATGTTCGCATCATCTTCCATATGTAAACTCACTTTTTCATTTCAATAAATTAGAGAAGAAGTTTTCACAGACCAAACGTGTCAGTGTTAGTTTCTTTATGTGCGCACATTCCAGAGCTAAATTAGAACAGGAGCAGATAATGACCGGACATTTAGTCCTCATCTAATTCAGGATCAACCCAGGGCATTCTCTTGGTGGGTGGCCAATGGTTTTTCGCAGATGCGACACTTTTTGACTTCTCAGTCCTTCCCCACCTGGAATTCTCTTTGGGAGTTACGGGATGTCCCTCAGGCGGCATAGGTTGACCTCACTGCAGGGCACTTCTGCTTTCCCGTATTAGAAATCTGCCTTTTAACAGTTTTGCCAACAGTGTCCAGGTGCCCCAGGCCTTATTTCTCTACTCTATGCATCTTTGAATAGGCACTCAACGAGTACTTCTCTCTCATATGTTGCTCAGTGGGAGCGCAACCTGGGGACGGTCGTGGATCTGGAGGACTGGAATAGAGCCTGGTTGTTTATAGCTAAATCTTCATTTAATACAACCATGCTGGAGTCCTACAAAGTATTTTTCGTTGGTATTTGGTCCCGGCTCGTTTGGCCCAGGCAAACCCTGTGTGCAGTGTTTATGCTTTTGGGGTTGTGGTCATCATCGAGATGTGTTGCATATGTGGTGGTCATGCCTGAGACTGATTCGTTTTTGGTCTCGTGTATTTGGCCTCCTTTTCACCTTGTTCCATCTCTCCATACACCGGGATGCTCGGTACGCTTTGCTTCATTGTCCCATACCAGGCCTGTTGGCTCATGAGCAGAAGCTGGCTTCCTATTTGTTCTTGTCGGTAACAAGAACAATTGCTCAGGCACGGAAGAGCCTGTCTGTCCCTTTTCATGGGGTGCGGGGACCGTATGACCACTCAATAAAATGATGTTGAATATCTGTAACAACTCCAAACGGACATTTTTGAAAATATGGGAGCCATGGTTGACATATGCTTTTCCCATCTCCCCCGGCTAGTCTGGGTTTGTGATGTTGTTCGGTATTGGCGTTCCTGGACCCCTGCTCCTGGTCTTGTCTTCTTCCTTTTCTACTCCTGTTTCCTTTCTATTTTTGCTTGCTTTTTGTGAGGCGGTAGATAGCTGCCTTGGGTTTGAGCTACTTTCAGTGTTATATCACTGTTTTTGTAATTTATGTGCCATTAATAGCCCCTGCATGGGCGCACCTTTTGCTCTGTCGGTGTTAGAGCACGATTTTGTTTACTTTTTTATGTGCAATTGGTAGCCCCTGTGTGGGCGTGACTTGTTGCTCAAGTCTTATTGAAATGCTTACAAATTAATAAAAACCATTGAAATACAAAAAATAGTCCATGTTAACTGAGAGAGTGAAGTTACATTTTAATTATCTCTGGCGAGAGAAGTACGAGTCCAGTGTTATTTCTAAAAAAATGCAAACATTTCTTGCTGACGGAAGTCCAGAGGTACGGAAAGTGGAAGAGGATGAAGAGTTTATAAGAGTGGAGCCAGGAGACTGGAAAAAGCAGACACAACGCAGAGACCATGGCTGATGCTCTGGAGACGGGTATGACAGCATATTATTGTAATTGGGGGATTATTGTAGGGGGGAATTATGGTAGATTCATGGCCAGTGAAAAAAAATGA